TCATTGACGAAGAGATCGATAACATGTATTAAACTACAAGTGATGGGAAACACTGGGATGGCTTTGGCATAACATTGATATAGTGACGTTTTGAGAACATGGCGAGCTACACAGCAGTCGTGAGCTATCAACTGGAAATGATTGCAATCGGCGTACCTTGTCTGATTTAAGTGAGTTTCGTTAATTTTCAATACAAAATTGGTTCCCGCAGATTTGCGCTAAATTTTCACAGTCAGAAAAATACATCATCCAGCTCTTGATAACATAGCATTAGATAATAACTGGAAATTAATATATACCCGCATTAACAACCCAGACGAGCCGAATACTGAGCACCATATTTGTCCTCGCCAGACGCCTAATGGTACGAATGTACTTGTAAGTGCTTATTAATTTCACGTATTGGTTTTTTATATATAATGTGTGTATAAACCCTCCTCATATATTGTATCACTAACAGTATAAACAACTACCAAACAATATAACAAAACTACCAACAATATAACAAAACTATCAACAATATAACAAAACTATCAACCAACAATATAACAAAACTGTCAACAATATAACAAAACTATCAACAAAATAACAAAACTATCAACCAACAATATAACATAACTACCAACTATATAACAAAACTATCAACAATATAACAAAACTATAACAAAACAAAATAACAAAACTATCAACCAACAATATAACATAACTACCAACAATATAACAAAACTATCAACAATATAACAAAACTATCAACCAAACAATATAACATAACTACCAACAACAATATAACAAAACTATCAACAATATAACAAAACAATATAACCAACAATATAACAAAACTACCAACAATATAACAAAACTATCAACCAACAATATAACAAAACTAACAACACTATAACAAAACTATCTACCAACAATATAACAAAACTACCAACAATATAACAAACTATCAACAATATAACAAAACTATCAACCAACAATATAACAAAACTATCAATATACCAACAATATAACAAAACTACCAACAATATAACAAAACTATCTACAATATAACAAAACTATCAACAATATAACAAAACTACCAACAATATAACAAAACTATCAACAATATAACAAAACTATCAACAATATAACAAAACTATCAACAATATAACAAAACTATCTACCTACAATATAACAAAACTATCTACAATATAACAAAACTATCAACAATATAACAAAAATCAACTAACAAAACTCTCAACAATATAATCAAAACAACTATCTACAATATAACAAAACTATCAACAATATAACAAAACTATCAACAATATAACAAAACTCTCAACAATATAACAAAACTATCTACCAACAATATAACAAAACTATCAACCAACAATATAACAAAACTATCAATATACCAACAATATAACAAAACTACCAACAATATAACAAAACTATCTCAACAATATAACAAAACTATCAACAATATAACAAAACTATACCAACAATATAACAAAACTATCAACAATATAACAAAACTATCAACAATATAACAAAACTATCAACAATATAACAACTATCAATATAACAAAACAACAATATAACAAAACTATCAACAATATACCAACAATATAACAAAACTACCAACAATATAACAATCAACTATCAACAATATAACAAAACTATCAACCAACAATATAACAAAACTATCTACCAACAATATAACAAAACTATCAACAATATAACAAAACTATCAACAATATAACAAAACTACAAAACAACAATATAACAAAACTATCAACCAACAATATAACAAAACTATCAACAATATAACAAAACTGTCAACAATATAACAAAACTATCAACAATATAACAAAACTACCAACAATATAACAAAACTATCAACAATATAACAAAACTACCAACAATATACCAATACTATCAACAATATAACAAAACAATATACCAACAATATAACAAAACTATCAACCAACAATATAACAAAACTATCAACAATATAACAAAATATCAACAATATAACAATACTATCAACAATATAACAAAACTATCAACCAACAATATAACAAAACTATCAAAACTATCAACCAACAATATAACAAAACTATCAACAATATAACAAAACTACCAACAATATAACAAAACTACCAACAATATAACAAAACTATCAACAAAATAACAAAACTATCAACCAACAATATAACAAAACTACCAATATAACAAAACTACCAACAATATAACAAACCAACAATATAACAAAACTACCAACAATATAACAAAACTACCAACAATATAACAAAACTACCAATAATATAACAAAACTACCAACAATATAACAAAATTATCAACAATATAACAAAATTATCAACAATATAACAAAATTATCAACAATATAACAAAACTATCTACGATACATAAGAACTATCACCAACAATAAATTCTGATTAACGAGTGTGATCCCAATATATTTTATCTACTTACAGATAACGAAAATACAAGAGCTATTTGGACCAAGTGATTTGTGTACGGAGTGCGCCTTGACGACTGGTTTGTTTCCATGACGACAGTGTATGTTGTGTCGATATATACTAAGCTTACATATTAAAGCGTCCATCTAATCCAAAATTGTCCGTGGCATAGTGGAAACGATATACTATAAGCGTTACGAGGGACTTGAATGAGAAAATATTTTAACTTATATGTGACCAATGATTTGGAGACACGCACGTCATGCAAGCAAATATCGTGTTTGGTGAAAGTAGAGATCAACTTGCCTGTATCCCATAGGAAGCACCATGGTTCCATGTCTTTGGATGTATCGCTGAACTTACGGAGTTTATGTGTTTTTCCATATGGGAATTACCGACTAGAATGTACGCAACATATCTCTGACTTGGATATTGCAGCTCAAGAAAGAAAGTATTCTTACACAGTTGTCGCGGTAATAAATGCACAGTACTCAAACGGATGTTTTACCGCCCATAAATCGGATTCTTCTTGAGGGCTAGCAGAGAGTGACTACGAGTTAAACGGATGAGTGGTCATTATTGGTCAGTCGGTCAGACATGAGTGCCCATGGGATTTATTCTTAATGGATAACTAAAATTATCAACTCATACCGAATATAAGCAATTACACTTCTTTTCGTGGTATACGTTTCCAAACATCTTCGAATTGTGATATGCTAAGAAGGGCATGGTATATAAACAGTGAGCTGCGAAATCGGTTATGCTGTAAAAGGTGTATTTGAAATACAGTCCAAATCTCGATTAAGAACAGTACATGTACTGCAGACACAAAAAAGGAAAGATGGAAAGGAGCGCACGTGTTAAGCACACGTGAAATTATTCCAGAGAACAAGAGTCCCGTGAGAGTTGTGCGCGGGAATTAGTGTGTCGTATACACACAGTACTGCGACAGAACCTCAACACTATATATATTGGCGTATTTCAAAGCTGTCCATTATCAGCCCTTGGTAAAACGCAATTTTCATAAATATTTGACAAGGCGTGTTGAGCAAGGTGACTTTTAAGTGCAGTGTTTGAAGGCTGTCCCCCACGCCTCCAGGATCACATGACTTTTTGGCCCCAAGTTACGAGGTGGTAGTGCTGTGTTAGGTGTTTACATGCGCGTCTCGCTATCTAGGTTCCAGTTTGTGTGAATGACTCGACACAGAGAAAACAAGCGTTCCGACGGCAATCGATCGACGCTCTGTGTGCACCTTCACAGCAATCAACTGCATTTTTAATGCTACTTTTAAAAGAATGACAGATGACAGTGTTAATCTTGTGTAGAGGCGTGGTGTCCATATTGAGGGCGTGGCAGCTACAAGAAAGGGGCATGGCTAGTTAACTACAGGGACGTCAATGAACTCCCAAGGGCCGTGAATTTTACAGTACAAGTGAAATTTACTGATACGGAAAACTTGGACTAAGCACTAAAATTAGCAAGGGACATGATTTGTGTGGAATGGAAAAATAATGATGCATTTACCGCAAACAATATGAAATAGCTGAGACATAACATTTTTCTAGAACTTTTGGCAGGTGTGACCATTTCATGGCATCTATACACGTGCGTACGAGTGCGTGGGAACCCGGATTGTTCAAATGAATGAACTGATCTCGTATTTATCATCAAAAGCTGTGATTTCACTGTGCGTGTTAAATACTTTAAACGGTCTCCGTGGTGTGGGGGCGAGGACATTTACGTGAAACTCACTGACGATATCTAGAATGGTCTATGTTGGCCCGACTCGTGTCCTGTGTGCTTACAATTTCGTAGGATATTGAAACAGATATTAGAGTGTGTACTTGGTTCGTTATAGCCGGCCGTTCGTTTTGTGAGCCACTCTTCTAAGATAATACTAATCAATATTTGCCAAAAACAGCTCCCTTGGCGCTAACGTGATGACGGAAAGGCTAGGATAGTCTATACATTCCTAATCTAAATGATCAAGTCATTACTTGCCCGACCCCAAGGGATGGTACCGTCGGGCACATGTGACAATATATGCATTAACATTCTGCCACAAAACAGTACACTTTATATAACAGACTACGGAAAATCTGTTTGTGCTTTCATTCCATCAAGAGAAATCTTACATACGTGTTGCCGCTACTGGTGACCAAGCCGTGTATGCTGTTATTCATAAGTGATACAGACTAGAATTCCGCAAAACAGCACGTGCAATTCAGTTCAACTAAACGGCACGTGATAAAATTCCAGAAAACGGCACGTGCTATTCATTCACAATCAGTTGATGTGAACTATTCTATCAAACTAGGCAACGAAGAAATTTAAAGGCGGTAGATGTGACGATTTCTTTGTGAAATCGAATATATAATTATATTTTTGTTCATAACAATTTTTACACAGACTTACATACATTCTTATGACATTGACCAAGTTTACGTTGGAAACTATCGGCAATTTGGGAAGTTTCTTCCATATGTGTTCCGGCAATTGATTGGTTCACGACTTTAAAACAATTCAACAAAATGTTGTGTTCTTGTGGTGAACAGTCACGTGACTCAGGACCAATTGTTGACCTTGAAAAAACTATTCAAGACTATGCATGGCGGGAACTAAAGCGTGACGCCCGGTGGTATCAGGGGCCGCTACTGCGCAGGTCATGTTATGACATCGAGGTTCCGTGGAATTTTTACGAGTTTGAACACCAGACAGTCAGATTTGCACCCAGACACAATCGTCACACTGTGGGAGACGGCTTTCGGGAACGCAAACACGTGGAATTGTTTTCAACAGATTACAAAAACAATACGGGAAAAGATCAGATTTATAATCTAAAAACACAACGACAAACTAAAGCGTTGACAAACGTGACTTTCCAGAGAGGTTTCAATATTAAAGGCAAGGCTAATTTTAAACTGAAAATTCCGGAAAGGTACGGACATTGTGGGGTAACGGCCAGTGCTGATGGTCATCTTAGAGTGACGAAGTGTCGAGGGGAAACACTGGATGAAATGTTCACGTGGCAAGTCGACAGTGACATCACAGTTGATCCCTATCACGTGACTAAAGTTACACTAGTTGTAACTGAAGACGAGTTTATTGCAGATTTTGAAGTACGAACAACGATGAAGTTGACAACCGGCGAGGCCCCCATAATACTGAAACGCAAAAGGGACAACCACATACATGCCGTTCTTCTGATATCAGATCTAGGGGAAATTTTCGGTGATTTAGGATGTCCCGTTATTAACGTTTTAAAGGGAGACGAAGGCGACAAGCAGAGTTGCGCCATTGAAATTATAACAACGGGGGTATTAGAAAGTCTGAGATGGAGGGACCAACGAATCAGTATTGAATCTCGCCCGATAGGCCCTTCGGAATCTGAACCATACGACAACCATTATGACGTACCAATGTATTCCAAGGATATCTATTCTCGCGTCATTAAGCACGCGACGCAGGATGATGACCTACCGGTTCTTGATCGCGACAAGATCAATGACAGTACTGTAGGGGTTAAAACGGAAACAAGGGACCTCCGATTCAAGATTATTCCAAAGATTGTGACTGAGAGCCCTGATGAAGTTTTCACTAAAGATGGCGAGTCAGCGCGGTCAGAAACGCTTACAAGCCCAGTTTACCCAACAGTGCGCATCGCAGACAAAGTTGAACCTGGTGATCACGCTGACAGGGCGAACAAAGTGGACCATCCTTCGAGTCGAGAAAGGGTGCTTGAGAGGTCCGAGAAGGTACAGGAGAGAGACAACAGTAGAGAATTTGAGTATGTGAGAAGGCCATTTGAGATCCCTCCGCCAAAACGACCAGATCCAGTGCCACCTTACAAGCTGACATTTGAGAAACCGCTGAAAGTTATCCGAGAACTAAGTCTAGAGGATAAAAAATCACAGGCAGATGACGACTCGGACAAGCTAGGAACGCCCGATTCATCCGACTCTCAGAAATTCTCAAAGGTAACGAGTGTTTGATGAAACTTGAAACAATATAGATAGCTAACATTTGGAGATAGCAAGACATGTGCTTGTTAACGGAAGGTAATCCATCTAACTATGGTTTTGAAATTTTACAGGAGATGCAACAACCGTGTGGTCGGGCTTGGGACGTGAGTGTCTAATTGAAAACACACACACGTCTTTCAGCCGATTTCCACGGAGTCGGTACAGAACTGTTACATTCGTCTTCCACTAACGTGAGAATGAACGAGTGTGAAAATTTTCGTGACAAGGGTTTTGGACCGGAAGTGTGTGACAGAGATGGCTGGAGAGAGAAGTTTGGGGTCAGTATCACGCAGAAAGACAGGAATGAAGTTAAAAAGAACGAAAGACACATAGAATAGTTTTTGTTCTTGTTTCTAAGAAGTGCATGAATTGGATTACATATTACCTACACTGTAAATTGAACAAATTTTTCACTTGGAGATAAAAAATACATATATTACCCAATAAAGACATGATCGTTTTGCACAACTTGTATAAAAAAATTAACTCGATGCATTTTGTGTATTTGCCGCGCGTTCCCACCGAGGAACACTAGTGTATTCTGGTGTAAGACAGTAACACCACATTTTTATAACTGTTATTCAAAACACAACGTAAATCTATAATATTTAATATACCTCACGTATTCACTCAGTCACTGCTAAGTTTCAATAGTATAGCCATTTCCGCTTCCTGTTGGGTTGATCCAGGTATTTCATCTGGATTTGTACCCAACCAAGCATCCATCCTCTCTATCACCCTGCATACGTGTACGGTTAGGCTACACCAACTTAATTCCACGTTCTTTTCTATTTTCTTTGCACAAAGATAATCCGTAATCAGTTTACACAATAAAATGGTGATTGTTATTTTGTATTTTATGAAAAAAGAATCTTTGATTAAAAATAATCACTTTAGTTTAATTTTAGAAATGAAGAAATAATGTTAATCAATATGTATTAAATAGACTAAAATAACACACGACATACATCAAAAAAAAATATTAGAATACTGTATAGCTTTTCGTGAAAATTGAAGAAAACAAGAAATTAGTTTGGTGTGACCTCGTCAGTCACCAGTCTTCGTAAAGGGTACGTGTGTCGTGTGTTTGTGTGATGTTTTCCTACACCTTGTAGTAAATGTACATTAAGCATATTTGTTTGTTTGTATGACAGTGTATATGTTCAAATACAGAAAGTGTTAAGATTAAGTTGTTTGTGCTTATGTTATGTAATGGTATATCATACGATATGGTTGTTTGCAAGGGATGGGAATGGCGGGAAAGAATGTCGGGTGTGAATGACGGTGTGGGAATGGCTGGATTGGAATGACGGTGTGGGAATGGCGGGGTGTGGAAATTACGGGATGGGAATGAGGGTGTGGAAATGACGGGATGGGAATTGTGGGGTAGGAATGGCGGGGTGAAAATGGCTGGATGGAAATTGTGGGATAGGAATGACGGGATGTGAATAACGGTATGGGAATGGGTGGACTGGAATGGCGGGGTGTGAATGACGGACTGGGAATGACGGTGTGGGAATGACGGGATGGGAATGGCTAGACGGGAAATGGCGGGATGGGAATGACTGCGAGGGAATGACGGGATGGGAATGAGGGTGTGGAAATGACGAGATGGGAATGGCGGTATGGGAATGGCGTGATGGAAATGGCGGGGTGTAAATAGGTGGGACAGGAATGGTTGGATGGGAATTACGGGATTGAAATAGCAAGAAAGGAAATATGTGATGAGAATTACGGGATGGGAATGGCGGAATGGGAATGACGGGATGGGAATGGCAGGATGGTAATGTTGGCATAGGAACGGCGGGATAGGAATTACAGGGTTGGAATGGCGGAATTGGAATGGCGGGATAGGAATGGCGGCATGGGAATGGTGGGATAAGAATGGCGGGATGGGAATAGCAGGATGGGAATGTTGGCATAGGAACGGCGGGATAGGAATTACAGGATTGGAATGGCGGGATAGAAATTACGGGATTGGAATGGCGGCATGGGAATGGTGGGATAAGAATGGCGGGATGGGAATAGCAGGATGGGAATGTTGGCATAGGAACGGCGGGATAGGAATTACAGGGTTGGAATGGCGGGATAGAAACTACGGGATTGGAATGGCGGCATGGGAATGGTGGGATAAGAATGGCGGGATGGGAATAGCAGGAAGGGAATGATGGATTGGAAGTCGCGGGATAGGAATGTTGGGATAGGAATTACGGGATCGGAATGGCGGGGTGGGAATTGCAGGAAAAGAATGGCGGGATGGGAATGACGGGATAGGAATGGCGGGATGGGATCTGGACGAGGATGTTTAATTGGGATAACAATCCAGAACACACCATTTTATTCGGTTTTTTTCCTGGGGAGTGGAGGTCAATTTCTTTTTTTAAATTGATTTCGTTAAATTATACATATGAATGATTTTGATTTGTTAACTTCATTCTAAAGTAAATATTACACCGCTTCATGATTGGCGATAAAAACGGGTCACATTTTTAGAACGAGGTGTCGTCTTGAGTCCGAACGGCGGTGTTGTTTGAATTTGAAGCTGACAACAAGAGCTAGATAGTGTTATACCATAGCTAAATGGCTTCAGTGATTTTGAACATAGGTCAGAATAATTTCTGTTTCTAAATCATGTCATAGGACTTCTTCAAAGTTGTCAATTAAGGGTTTAAAGAAATTGAAACCCAAAGGCCTTGAGATAAGTACATTATATAAATGCAATGGATTTTCGCAAACTTGGTTAACAGCACGCTTGAAAGCAATGCCAGCATTCTTATTTTATCGGCCACTGTGTATGATTCTTAATGGTTTTTGTTTTAATATCAACTGACAATTTTTGTTCCAATTCCCAGAATTAATAGCCATTCTCTTGTGAGGAAAAAAATGCAAGGAGAGGAAAACCTGATATCCGGTTGCCTTGATTTTCGCGAACTTTTCATGATAAAATTTGCTTGATGATATTTCCTATCAAAAAAGATAGAAAATGTGACCTTGACCCTGTTGACTTGAAACTTTGACCAGCCACCGAGTCACGTGATTTTATTCTAACAAGCGGCAATGACTTTGATCTTAGAAGCTGTTTGAATTCCTACTGCAACATCTGCATATACAATACATTATCATGTGCGAATTGAGACTGATTAGCCTACTGTAAGGACACGGCAAGATTCGTTTTTGACACAACATTCCCAGTTCTATTTTTAGTAACAACGACCTAGTCTTGACGTCAGGAACGTTTTAAGCTCCTATTCAACATTTTCATCTCAAAAGGTATCAAAGTATGAAATTTCAGAAAGTCTGTCTTTCTATATTCTAAGATAGTCTCGGGGAAAAACGCTAATTGACAAACAGGCGGACGAAGGACACCGTGATTACCACAGGGCACTCGCATTTCCAAGCGGATCCCTTAAATTTACAAAATCTGATTTGAAATACAGATGCATGTTTGAGTGTTCATGGACAACAATACCAAGACCAAGCTTTTCAGAACCACGTCACGACAAGCATCCAATATTTACTCACTAGTAGGAATACTCCCCGAGCAAGAAGGGGCAGCTGAGGGTCAGAAACAGAAATAATGAAGACACATATGGATAAATTGGCAAAATTCAGGATGAGTCGCAATCAGCGGAACCTTGTTCTAAACATAGATTACTAACCCTCCGGCTGACATTTCTCCGTCTCAATCACATACAGAGGAAACATTCTATTAAGTTCGTGTGACAACTGTAAATACGATTTGCTGACCACAGAGGGTGCTTTACATTCCAATAGATATTATTATACATAAAATTAGTAACAGCGTGTCTGATTGGTTCACTAACATCACGTGACATGTCGTGGTTGTTCCACTTTCCGCTTCCTTTCGTGCCCAAAGCTCAGGCATTAAATCCATTCGGTTAATATCGACTAATTCCGATACTATAGTTACGGACTAAGCCGAGATGTGACGAGTGGGATTAAATCCACTTCATCTCGAATTCTGCTCGAAGAACCAAACGTCAGAAGTGTTCCGGATAAAAGTAAATTACGTCATTATATGTGTCATTATTCCAGATTGATATAATATTTGTTGACCGTGTAGTAAAATGAGTTTTTTAATGAATGATTATTTTTTCTCTCCCAAAACATTCAACAGATTGATAATCTGATATTGACACAACATAAGCAATATTTTAGTATAAAAGCACAAGCAAACAAATGAAAAATACATGGATTCCTTTTCCATGGTGACATTCAGAAAATGATCCGGAATTTCCAACATCATGCTGTTTCTGTGATTAGTTTCTGGCGGAGTGTAAACTTTATTACATGAAATGTCCGTACCTGTCGTATTTTTCCCCTGCAAATCATTGAGTGTTGGTTTGATCACCCGTAAACAGTGATTGTTATTTTGAGTTCAGGTCTCTCTGTAGCAGCTGGTGGCTTCATCAATGAATAACATGCAGGAGGCCCGTCAGATACCATCCAGAGTTATTAGGATAAAATATCTTCAAAAACCACATAACAAGATATGTTGTGACAGTCAATCATTTAATGACGTTATTGTATGCCTTAACCGACAAACCTGTCAACTTGAATATAGCTCAATAGCCATCAGTATGTTCCGCAAGTCATCACAAACCATTCCGAAATTTTAGCATGCGCGACTTTCTCCAAGTTCCACTGGTCATGGAAATAGTTTGTAGATTCTTGTTTCCAATGCTGTGAATATTTTTCAGATAATTTCGTAAAACGAGAAGAAAAGGACAAGGACAAAGATGTTTTCTTTTCTCGCATTTCTTAACGATACTTCGATACGGCCGCGCTTCATCATTTACTTTGGATCGATGACAAAAATACAAGAGTAATTTATGTAGTGAGACTTAAACGACATTATTTTTTTTTTATTTCTTATTTTATTTTTTTTTTTTTGTTTTTTTTTTTTTTTGTATATTTATTTTATCGTTCTATACGAATGTCATGTAAAGGTTGAGGTTTTTTTCGTGGATTGAGTAAAATTTCAAAGGAACGTGAAAATTCTTCGTTAGTTAATCAAACCAGAATATATTTCCAAAGACAATATTTTCATTTGATTAGCAAAACTGTACCCAAGTATGAAAACAATTAGTATGAA